AAATATTTCATTTAGTCGCACTGGCTTTAACAGAAAACATACGTTTGATTATCGGACGATGTTAAGTCTTTAGAAAATATGATACCAACCACAACTGATTGCAAATTTATTTTATTGAATTTACTTCCTCTACAAGCATATGAAAGCAAAGCGCATACATGTTAAGTAAGGCAACAGAAAAGCCTTATTTTAATGGCATTGAATCTACAACAATATCCTTCTAACCCCAAAAGAGCAGAACAGAAACAGCCAACAACCTCTGCCAACCGCTCTCCAATTTCACCGCAGAGCATTTGGGTTCGGGTCGAGCCTTTTTACAATTTTTTTGCCGGAAGTGTCATACGAAAAGCGTTTACTTTTTACACCTGCGGCATGTGCGTCTGAATAAAATTAGATGTGTTGAATATAATCTGATGTGTTGGAGGTATTTATACATGCATACCGAATTTCAAAACGATCTTGCACTGAACACTTGAGATCTGTGAGAAGGTTTCATATTAGCAATTTTGGGGTTAGAATAGTTACTCAATTTTTTTTTTAATATTCAAATTATTGTACTTACTCTGATACTAATTATCATATAGATAATGGTTTTTAGAATTAGCAGCTTTCACAATGCAACCACTTTATTTTTGCTCAAACAGTTGAAGCATTCACCCATAATTACAATAATTTTAATTAAAGTAAAGCTATCTCTTGAGAAAGTTTACACTAAAACCTGCCCAGTGCCTTACATTTGGCTATATACTGTCTTTCCCACTCTTTTCAAATTCGTTGTAATATACACCTCTTTTACATTCAATTATTTGCAATCTTTGTACGTTGTGAGTCTCATTTGACTTTTCAATATCTAAAACTATCAAAATCAACAAATGTGTGCATTTTCACGCAATTGTATCCATTTGAGATTGTTGTAAATTTCAAAATTCTGCCGAGTGATTCAACAATCATATATATATATGAATCATTTTTTTACGAATATATGAACGCATACCAGCAAAAGAATAACAATTAAAGGCTTACTATAGTTTGTAAAGAGAATAATATACATCCGAAGTTTATGGTTGAGAAAGCAGCGGACTAAACCACTGGGCGATACAATATAATTACTTTCACAATATTTTCCTTGTACGTGATAATATACCACCATATATACAGCTAATTCAAATGATGCTTACAAACTATTTTGTAAGATACAGTTTGAATTTGAAATTTGAAAATTATGCATTTAGGCGATAAAATACTTTAAATGAAACCAAAGCGCATCTAAAAATTTAGCAACAACTATTTACCATATAATTTGTATTTGCAATAATTGGGGGGGGGTAGTGATGCAATACCCACCCCCTCCCCAACTTCTTACTCAAATGCAAGTGTACTATTCTTGCAAAGAATTTTTTTTAACAGTTATTGGTTCAGTTGACGAACATATGATTATTTTTAGACCGATCTGTTGCAACGTCACAGTTGTAATTGTTACCGACCGAAATAGTTGGCCAGGTTATAGCTTGCTGATTCAATCATGTAAAACGGATTTGTAAACTTAATTCAACCATTACAAAACCCAAACAATCATTAGACGCTAAGTTTCAGTGAAAATCCTGAGCATGTATAATGTGTTATTCATTGAGAGCAAAGGCTGTTGCCAAATAATGTCTTTATTTACAGCAGGAATGTGAACCAACTGCATTTTTTGCACCACAACTTCAAGACAATGGTGCTCCATGATGCGTGACTCTGGAATGTAACCCAAGGTATCATTGAAAAGCGCACAGCTTCAGCTTTAAGATGATAACATGCTTCTTGCTTGTAAACAAAAGTCTGGCCATAATAACCCTTTCAAGTTGGGTTACCTTTTTTTTTGAGACACCCTGTATAGGGTATGTATTGTTTTCCTTCATTGACGTTATCAAGTTTGTAAAACTATATCTATATGAATTATCAAGCTTGTGAATCAACATGTACTACTCTTCCCGTTTTGAAATGAATTGCTATACTTATTGACTCAAATGGAAAACATTTTGGTAAAGTTTCACACCTAAACAACGGCTCGTAAAACAGCCGTTTTCAACTACCATTCTAATACTAAAATACTTCACAGCAGCTTGACATTAAACTACATTTCCGCTCGTTTCTGACTGTTCCAACGACAAACACTTCCATACCGGAGTCTGAGTTCTATTTGACCTGACACCTTTCATGTTCAAAACGACCCTTTTCTTAGACAAATGTACACTTTTGTCAAATATTCCGGGTTCATCATTGGCACAAGTGTCTTTTATGCCCCAAAAATTATCAAGAGAAGTTAATGTATACATCCTTACATCGTTGTAAATATCCATTAATACACTTAAAAATAGGCTACGTAAAGTAATACACATAAAGGTATTAACTCAAGTCAATGATACAACAAGTATAAGTTCTAAAATCGATAGCAATTATATCAATACTCATTTTCCTAGGATGTATGATTTACATTTTCACAACTATCGACGGAGAAAAGTACTGATATTTGCTTCAGGAGCAGCTGTACAAAGTGTTAACCCTTTATTTTATGTTTTTATTGGCTACCTATTTAGTAGGCTACCTTATACATACGTAGTCACTGACACAATTGGAAAACAATTTGGAAAGCTTCATACTTTCTTAAGTGTCATTCTAAATAAATTATTTTAATGTAGTTTGTCAAAACTATGTTCTTTCATGCTTGTCCAATAATTCGATATTGAACTACTGTTTATTGAATCTACCTCAAATTAACTGTATATATACTGTAATTTTATATTCATGCATACGCACTCACCATCAATTATCTTAATACACATTCTACGTGCTTTTATTTTTACTGTACTAATTCCTTGTATAAGATTATTGTTCTTAAACTTTAAAGTAATAATAACACATCGTTTTACACATTCATACACTTAAACATAGGAAACACACAATAATAAATCTATGTTATAAATCCTTATACATTAACATATCGAATTTTGGCAATAGTTCAGTTACTGAAATGGTCGATAACCATATCATAAGTGATTTTAACACAATGCACGACAAAATAGAGTACTTATAGCTCATGTAATGCAACCACTTTTTTGGTATTGTTTTTGGAGAGTTTCCCACTGATTTCGGGGCAATTAACAAAGTTCTTATGCGCACCCAATGGCATCACTTGAAATAGCATCACTTCAGATGCAGTTATATTACACTGTGTTACGTAAGTTACATTTCTCAGTATGAGTAAGCTTCCATCCTATTACACATTCAGTTACATTTTGTGCAACATATACCTTGTAGTCGCTATGCAATCACATCATATTAAAAGTTAAAAATGAGTTCCAAAATATCAAGCACATTTTATACAAAACCAAACTGCACTTCAAATTTTAACATTATAGTAAAACAAACCAAAGACATCTACCAAAAAAAAAAAAACCAACGCCACTTTATTAAAAATATCAGAGCATAGACATAAAAAAAACATGGCCAATAAAAAAAATCACATGGAGTAGTGTCATATACAATACTCAAAGTAAGAAAATGAATTGAAAGGTTTAAAGTTGCTTCCTAGTACGAGATGGTCTTACATTAATTGCAAAACGAAGACAACTGATTTCATTCCCTTGGAGCAAACGCAAAAGCTTCACATGTATAATCAGCTCAAAAAGGGTGGAAAAGGAAGGGTTTTTCAAGAGGAACAGAATAAACTTCAGGGGAAAAACATGTTCAATATATGGCAATCCTCTGTAGTCTTCCAGACAGACGTGCGTACATGTCAATGTTTTCTTGCAGGAGATTTTACCCTTCTCTGACCATGGAGCTAGGAACAGTGCCGATGCATCTATTCTACCGTTCTCAATCTTTATTTTTACGACGTGTAATTAAAGTACAACGAATTGAAGAGGGTTGCTGTTACAAAAAGATGCTGTCGGACCATGAGTCTCTTGCTGGCTTGTATGACCCACACAATTGGATGCCTTATTGGACGGCCTATCTTTACAATCGTCATCGGTCACTCATGGGTACGAGAACCAAACGTGGGACGCCTCATCATCATCATCGTTTCAATTTTAGTCGACAAACTTGTCAAAGACATCCCCTTGCTAGATATTATCCCTTTTTCGAAATGGAATCTCCAAGCGTTTTGATGTTTGCAGCATCCACTTTGTGTTAATACTGTGGCCAGTTGAATTCAACGCATATTTGCTATCTAACGTTGGTACTTGGTAGACAACTTGTTTGCAACTTGGCCAACCTACAATGCTGTGCCCCTCCCCTCCTTCTTACTGAAGACGCCACTGCGAATATATATTACCGCCCAACCCCGCTTGTAATTTATAAAGTCGAAGCCGGTCTGATTGTCCGACGTCGAGAGCGGATACCCCTCAAACCACTTGAAATCAGGTAGTATGAGATTTTCTTCATTTCCAGCCGAAGCAGAGCAGAAGTCGTGTATAACACCCATCTCTTTTAGCATACTGTTTGGTTAATGACTATGATCCAACTGTCTCTTAAATAGTCGACACCTTGCAGTTCCTCATGCTTTAGCCCTCTGTTTTGTCAGAAATTCAATTAATTGTGTGGTTACATCCTGCAACTATAACCATTACGGCCATAGGCTACTCCAACAGCGTTCCGGTAATGGTTATTCTTGTGATGATTCGGTGACACCTTGCAATGAACTGTGATTACGAAGCGAGTTTGGGAAACACTGATCAATATCAGTAGGAGGGACCTCACGCTACTGCAGCAGTTCAAAGACAAAGGTCACATCCAATTATACATGAATACAACCTCCTGTCCGTTTCAAAGTTGCTTTATATTGTGCGGAGAAAATGAATCGGAAACTGTGCAGATCAAGTCCAAATATATGTAGAGCAATTCCAGGCTTCAACAACGGTGCCAGTGAATATTTACGGAAATTTCCAGCCCACACTTCAAGTCGATTCTTCCACCCCCCCCCCCACACGCCTACCGGGTATAACTTGACGACACCTCTATGTATACCCAAATGTTTTCTTTATTTTGCTCCACATATTATTTGAGGCACTGTCCGATTTAGCTGCATCTTTGACTGCAGCGTCAGTGCTTTCTGTGAGTTTAGTCTTTTCCAGAGACCCTACTCTTTTCTCCCAACCTGGTTTTTGCGTTGCCTTCTCCGATTCAATCAACACATCTAAGTACTCTTTTAACCCTATGGGGTGAGGCTTGAGGGCGATCTTTTCAAGGCGCTGTGTACTACGGTGAGACTCCTTAATCAACTCGGAAACAGCCGCTTCCGAAGTGGCTAGATCAGCTCGTACTTTTTTTATCACTTCTTCACGGGTTTGTTTTCGCCCCTGTGCGTGTCTGTATCGGCTCTCGATATTAGCATACGTTTGTTTCTCTTTCACCATTTTCCAATGATATCTGGAGTGCTCGTAAACGTGGTCGCTTGAGGAACACTTGCCAGGACACACAGTGCAATCGCCCCACGACATTGCACGGCACAAAAACGTTGCGTTAGAGTAGGTACATGGGTGATGACAGGTGTAGAGGCAGTTGAGACAATTCGTGGAGCCCTCGTCTTCATCTCGAATTATGGTCAGTTTTGGAACGAGAGCCTCGTACTCGTAAGACTTACATTCCTCCATTTCCTTTTCATGCTCTTCAAGCATTTTTATGTCTTTCTTTAACTGCTCCGTTTGTGCACGAGCGAACTCAATCTGAGGCTTTACCCCTTTCAGAGCAGCCTCGAGGCATTTTCGTTCCTCAAGAACAGCCACGGTGAGGATAAGACTTTGTGGCTCTAGGTAGTCAAGAGCGTCGAAAAACGTCTTCATACTTTTATACCCCATTTGCCAGAACATTGCTTCAATCGACATTCCACCATCTCCTTGACTTGCAAATAGTGCCGAGTTGTTGAACTTAAACGTGTTACCAAAAGGTAACTTTGCCTCTTTAACTGCATGGAGGACTTTCGGTGTTTGCCCGTCACAGAAGGTGATCAGCAGCAATATATTGGGCTCAATATTCTTGCCAAAAATGGAAAGGATTGACTCAAAGACATACGTTTGCGTCGGAGTAAGACGAGCTTGTGAAGCCTGAACAACGAAACCTACAGCATCAATGTGATCCACACCATGGGCTTCAGGGTGAGTGAAAAACTCCTTTATCTGTTCAACAGTAGCTCTATCGTGCTCAATACCTCTGGTATCCCCAAACCCTGGGGTGTCAATGATTGTCAACGTGTAGGGAACGTTGATATGATCACTGTAGTGGATTGTATACGACGTTATATGTTGTGTTTGACTGTGAGCTTGTGATTGATGCCCCTCCCCCCGTTCGTCTACCAGCTTGAATCTGAAGTTATATTCCCACTTCACCCCTAAGATGTAATTGGCCATCGTATTGATTAAGGTACTCTTACCGGTGCCTGTTTGACCAACGACCATTATTACCTTGTGAGGCGAGGGCATCCTAGATCGCGCACCCGCAACACTGTAACTACGGAATGAATGTGACATAGAAACTGACTCCTCCTTCAAAGGGACCAAGAAAACAACTGGGTGCCCAACTTCTGAAGGTAGCACTTTAGAGCTTTGAGCAAGCTGCTCAACATATAGGGCCACACTTCTGGGGTCGTCACTGGCGCTGGGGGTACTCATGATGAAGATGATATGTCCAGACTTGACCTAAACGGAACAAATGACGTACAAGCACTTTAATGGCTTATCGAGTCGGGGTTTTGCCGGCCGAGATGGGGAAGCGTATACTCACTGACTCACTGACCCTTCCACACTGATTGTAACTTTTAAACAAGACTGATCTCCAAAATTTGAACAAGTATTAGGGGCCTACCTCTTATTGTCAACAAATAGGCTAAGTCCAACCCATAGGCGACATGCGTGAAAAATGGTTGTGTAAGACTGTTGTTAAATTAATGAAAATCTAACTAACACACTAGCTCAGGTTAACCAAAAACCAATTCAAACTTACAACAAAGAGGTCCATCCAATTCAGCTCTCCGGTTTTTGGTTATTGAACATTTCAAAGAAAATCTGGACATTCTCGTCACCCATGCAAGTTGCGGAACAAAGTTAATTACCTTGAAATCGCAGCGTAGTTCAAGACTGTGGATATTGGGGTCCCTCTTACTAACCCTGCGTAATAAAAAGTAGAGGTAGAGAGAAAAATAAAACCGAACCAAAGTAACCAACAGCATCCTGCCTGCCACTCGAGACCCGGCCAACTTCAACCATAGAGCAAGGAACTATTTATATATTCCCTTCGTTTCACTACCAGAGAAAAAATATGGGTTTTGTTTAAACCTGGGTGTGGCCCCTATCAAAATGACAAAAATACAATCAACAAATTCCAGAAGTTAATTTTAGAATCAAACTTTGATCAATCCTAAATTATTGCCTACTGAGTTAACTGAAACACAATCATTATGGTGAATTCTTAAGCTAAATCAATGCTTCACGAATAGCTTGATAAATATAGGTCTTCAATTTTAATCAAAGGTCCAGATGAAAAAGAAGGAATACATTATATTGGCTACATTTTGGTATACACCAATATTGGATATCTAGTATGAACATTTAAATCTTTAACTCAAAACAATTAGAGTGGCCTGATTTTTCATCTTTAGCAAGGACTTCTTCGGAGGTAAATCTTTGTTATATTCTCTTAATTGATTGTGGTGAAATTCATAAAACAAAAACCAGTAATGTCAAACCCCCTCCAACTCCAAAAAGTCTTTTACAAATCTTAGAAGTATCACCAACTGATTTTAACCACAGAGCAAGGAACGATCTGGCTATATTCCCGCATCTGGATGAAAAATATATGTAAAATTTCCTGAAACTAAACTTCTTTTTAGCAGATGAAACATTATTGATATGATACAAGATCCTACCAGCTTTGTGTTTGAAATAATAAGTTGCTATTTACCAATGACAATATTTTTAATGTTTTGTCAAGATTCAGTTAAAAAGTTTTTAAAAAATGGCAGGGGGGCATTCAATTAAGTCGTGACTGAACAGGAATATTCACAAACACCCGTCGTACATTGCTTGTAGTAACCTGAGTACCATATCTTATAGCACACCATTTGGGAACACCATTCAATAGAACACCCACAAGTGTCTTATGGGAAATAAGCACATGGAAAGTTGTTGAACATGACAGCAGAGTTTGAACAAAAGTGCACAGAATTGTCTCCGGTCTGATTCATTCATTGAAGTTGTCTAGAGAGGACAATACATTGCCGATATTAGGTCTTGTACTCAGCGAATACATACTGTCCAAATTCCCTTCGGGCATACACGTAGATTTAATTCATAGCTTGGGCCAGATTTTGGAACAGATGTGGACATTCCGGACAAAAGCACCAAATTTTCCATACATGCTCCTTATTGCCTTAACTTTCAATTTTTGATAGGAGCCAACGATCGGCCATGGCCTCGCATATGGCCGATTGAGTGTGATACACGTGTGTCGACGGGGGCTCCGTTATCGTCGGGTTTATCCCCAATTTATCTAGAATTCTTTGGAAGAATTTCTTCTGGACTTTGTAAACATTTGTTGTCTCCAGCTCCAGGACAATTTTTTATCTTCCTAGCTGTGTGATTGTGCTCCTTAGCGTCACGTTTTTCAGGATTGTGAGATTGTGCTTCGCGGCCATGTTTTGATGCACAGCACAACGTTATTGTCACTCAGCGCATGCATTGTACATGTACATACTGTACGTACATACATTGTGCATTAACTTGATCAACGCACGTACGCAAGCTTGATTCATCTTCACACACTCATTTTGAACTAATGAAGGCAGTTCTGTTCAACACATCATTCTGTCGACCCTACGGAAGCGTTTATCGTGAAGTGGAGTGAAGCCTCGAACGTTTTGGTGAGCTGTTTCCTCGTGTTGCCCAATTTCCAGACGTACGTCTTAAATTCACTGGGTGATTCCCACTAAATTAACCTGCCATGGCTGCTAAGAAAGACATGGCTGAGATTCGTCTGGCACTTGAAGAGAACAGAGTTGCCCTGGCTGATTTCCTAGCTGTAACTAAAAGTAACGCCCAGAAACTTGAAAGTTTCCAAGCATCACTTGACTTCGCCTCTGCACGTATAGACACTATCGAAAAGACAGCTATACCATCATTGAAGGCAGCGATCGAAACATTGAGAAGCGACTTCAAGCAGCAGTCCCTCATTGCAGAAACCAGAAGCATGCATACAACCTAGTCTTCATTAATCCACCACCATTTAACCCTGATATTTCTGATAACGACAGAAAAGCTCGACGTCTCATCCAACTATGTGGAGTTCCTGTAGCCAAAGCTAGCTCCTTATCTCTGAAAAGATCTCATCCACTACGTAGCCGCAGTGTTCCTGGAGCTCCCAAGCATCCTACAGCCAATTTCCGTTTGGCCATTAACTCCTGGGATGACAAGGAATTGGTACTTCCGGCTGCAATGTCCAAGCCTAATTCGATGAATGACATCATGAGGGTTATTACACAGTGGCCTAAGAAACTCAAGATGGCACATGCATAGATGAAGACCAGTGCTGAGGCTAAGTTGGCTAAGCTGGAATGGACAAGCTTCTTTGTCAAGATTCACTTTCGCACTGGGAATGTCAGCCTCGTCATTGCTGACAAGATCGTCAAGTCCGTTAAAGCGTGGACACTAGCTGACTGAAATATGTTCGAAACCATAACTTATCACTGCTCCGTGATGGGGAGCCCCCGTAGCCACCTTCATAACCACCTTCATGCTCGCTCATGGCCTAATGTATTTTGCATTTTTGGTAAGAATGCTGCTGAGTTTTTTTATTGTTTTGAATGTGAATATGTGTGCTTATTAATGATATTTCTATCCCTGTGTAAAATGTATTGTTGTATTATGTTTCTGTTATGTATGCCCAAGAAACCTCCATAGATTTTGATACATGTCTTGCTGATTTGCTTGAAAATGATACTGATACAGAGAGTTCTAACTATGTGCCATCGCTGTGTCAGCTTGATTGCCCATCTATTATGAGTCCTTATGTCACTTCATCAAGAATTCAATGATCAAATTGACCTTTACAGCGATCCTATCATTTTTTTGCAGCTGAATGTTTTTAGTTTGCCTAGTAAATGGGATGATTTTAAAATAAGATTTACTCAGCCTCAAAGGTAAAATCAATATTATTGCTCTTTCTGAGACGTATTTTCTGAAACGTATTTAAATATTGTTGTATTATGTTTCTGTTATGTATGCCCAAGAAACCTCCATAGATTTTGATACATGTCTTGCTGATTTGCTTGAAAATGATACTGATACAGAGAGTTCTAACTATGTGCCATCGCTGTGTCAGTTGATTGCACATCTATTATGAGTCCTTATGTCACTTCATCAAGAATTCAATGATCAAATTGACCTTTACAGCGATCCTATCATTTTTTTGCAGCTGAATGTTTTTAGTTTGCCTAGTAAATGGGATGATTTTAAAATAAGATTTACTTAGCCTCAAAGGTAAAATCAATATTATTGCTCTTTCTGAGACGTATTTAAATGACCGTAATTGCTGCAATTTTGATGATCTACCAGGCTACCATCCTCTTAGCTTGTGTGAAAAACATCGTTGTGACAGGAAGGGGGGGGTGGTGTGGCCATTTTTATTGATAATCGTTTTAACTTCATTGTTCGAGAGGACTTATCTTTTTGTTTTCCACAAGCATTGAACTCATTGCTGCTGAAGTCAATCCTGGTTCTAAAGATAGAGATAGTTTTATTATTTGTTCTTTATACAGACCACCAGGTGTGGCCCTTTCTGATCTGACAATGTTCAAAGATTTTTTATCAAATTTATTTTTGAAAGTCAAACTCTGTTTATCAAAAGCATGTTATATTCTTGGTGACATTAATATTAATTTGCTCAAGTATGGCTCTCCAAGTTCCTATGGCAACTTTGTGAGTGAATTTATTGATAGTCTTTGTGCTGAAAATTATGTGCCTATGATTTTAAGACCGTCAAGGATCAACGGCAACCAGTTTTCTTTGATTGACAATATTTTCATCAATAGAGTTGATAGAAACGCTTCCTCATTTATTATTAAAAGTGATTTATCTGACCATTTTATTTCAGTATATGCATTTGAAAACGGTAGATGTCAGCAGTCACCAACCAATCAGAGTAAAACTATTAGAATATTTAATATTGTTGATCGACAAGCGTTTCGTAGAATACTGTCTACCGTTAACTGGTCACATGTTTTTAACTCTCATCACCTTGATGATAAATTGAATGTTTTTACTGTTATTTGGCAATCAGCCTTTGATCTGGCTTTCCACTTGTGCATTTGAAAACTTCCAGGTGTCAGCTGATAAAATTCTCTTGGATGACGTCAGGG